GTCCAAAGAAATCAGCATACAGAAAATCATGTTTTCTAGAACACAGCTTATTAAGCCCATTTCCTTAGTGGACTGCAGAGATCGGCAAAGACTTTGAGGTTTTATGAAATTTTTTAAAAGAGGGGTAGGGGAGGAGAGAGAAGGGGGGAGAACGTGTGTGCATGTGTGTGTATGTGCGTGCGTTTGCATGTACACATATGCTTACTGATCTATCACCTCCATCAGCTTTTCAAAGGGGCCCAGTATCTAGACAGAGTTGGAGACGCTTCAGGAAGATCTGTAGGTACAGATGTAATCTAACAAATGCAAAAAAACATGAGGAGGGTGGCCACCTCAGCCAGCCTGGGTGGAAGTGGTTGTGTGAAGATTTGCCTGACAAGAACCCATACCACCAAACTATGCAGGAACAAACACTGAGACTAAACACCAAGTAATATGTCTTCACAGACTTCATCATTCTGGGAGGACAGCTTTGGATGAAGAAGAAAGATGTGAGAGCCAGACAATGACTTCTTGATTGACACAAGAAATCAAGAGTTGGGTTTCTGAGCCTTATAAGAATAGAGGTTTCCAAGAGGGGAGAATAAAAGTGCAATAATGGGGAGGGGGAAGAGCATCTGGGGATGGGCTCCCTTAGCTATTTTTTTTTTAATCACATGTAACCAAGGGCTGGGAATTTAGCTCAGTGGCACTGAGCCTGCCTCACAAGTGCAAGGTCCTGAATTCAATCCTTGGTAAAAACAAACAAACAAACAAACAAAAAAACACATGTAACCTTATTTTACTTTATTTTCTGTGATGCTAGGAGTCAAGCCCAGGGCTTCATAATGCTACATCCTGAGTCCCCTCCCTTAGCCACTAATGGGAGACACAAAAGCAGAGGATTCTGAGTGGGACATGCTCAGTGATGATTAGCAAAAGGAAAAGGAAACAGCCACCCCCCATAATGAATTTATGACCCTAATGTCCATAATACGGGGTGAAGGAAGAGCATGGGAATGAGTCACTGGTCCCTACCAGAGGCAGAATTAGGTGACTGCCAGCAGCTGTGTGATTTAATTCCCTTAGGAAAGGAACCCCATGTACTGCCCCCTAGAGTTGTTGAAAAGAATACATGAGATAATGCACCCAAAGAGCCTCAAGCAAGGGTCTTCTCAATGTAATGTGTTATTGTTATCATCACCAATATTTTCTTTTATTTCATACCTCTCAATTACCAACTCAAATATGATTTCTTCAGGGAGGTTCTCCTTAAACCATGCTGCATTAGGTTTGCTGTACACAATCTCACAGTATCACCCTATTCTCACGATTGTTATTCAGTGTTTTGTGGCTTGACCCCTAGACAGTCATTCCCATGAGGGCAAGAGCACTGTGTCCTGCTCAGTGTCCTCGGAGACCAGCCCATGCCCACACACAGAGGGTTTACCACACGAAAGTACTGAGCACAGAAGCCAAGCATGAGGAGCCTGGGGGGAGCTGAGACCTTCAGTGCCACAATTCCATCGTAGAGACAGGGAAACGGACTCCAGAGAGGCACAAACACACTGGGAGTAGGGGTGTCATTGCCAAAGCAGGGCCCCCGACCTCACTCAAAGCAGAAGCTGGAAGCCACATGGAGCCCTCATACCCCAGCCCTGCCCCCTCAAGGAAACCCACAAGCTCATTTGCCTAGGTCAACAACAGCAACAAGGAGGCTCTGGAGGACATGAAAATGAAAAGCACACCACTCCCTGGATCCAGGCGGCTTCTTCTGTGGGTGTGCATGGATGGGCTCCTTGCCTGTGAGATCCTGGGGAGATTCATGCCAGCAGGAGATTCCAGTGAGCAGCCAGTGGCTGTGCCAAATCACTCACTGGTCAGTCCCCTTAGCCCAAGGCAGTCAGGGCCACAGTGGGAGGCCACAGAAGGCTACAGAAGGACAGAAAGAGGGATGCTTAGTGCTATCAGGTGAGAAGGACAGTTGGGAAAGACCAGAAGTTTGAGCTCAACATCAAGGAGGTTTCTGCAGATCACCAGACAGGTAGGGGGAAGGAAGGGAAATCTAGGGAGAAAGAACAGCACATACAAATGCAGAGAGGTCTGCTTGAGAGGTGGACCTGAGCTGGGTGGCAGGAGGCCTTGGCAGCCATGATAATGGGTATCATTCTTCACCAAATAAATGGTAAGGGCAGCTCTGCAGGGTTTTCAGCTGAAAAGCAACTAACTTGGATTTGCTATCTCATGTCACATGGCAGCAGGAGTGACACCAGAGGCTAGAGGCCCACTGAAGGTAAACTCTAATGCCCAGTCTGGCACCACTATAGACTTAGTAGATGCATGAAGGACCTTTATCTGCTTTGTGCCATTAATATCATTGACTTTCCCCCGTTATAAGCTCCCCTCCTTTGTATTTTGCCACAGCTATGTCTTGATTATCTGGAAGTCATTTAATGGATAAGCTCAATTATCCAGAACCTAGCAAACAAAGAGATAAGAAAACACCCATGAAGGGCCACAGTGCATGCTGCAGAAGGGCAGGGTGTGCACTTGACCCTCACAGACATACATCTGCTGCCACTCGCACTTGTACCTCTGGTCTAGAGCAGAAGCCAGAGGGAACCCAGCTCTGGCACCTTCTGGTTGAGTGGACTCGACCCTCAGTTTCCTGGTCTATAAAATGCAGCAGTAGTTGTAGCCATTTCAGAGTGTGGCTGTAAAGATTAAAGAACATGAAGTACTTATCACAGTGCCAGACGCCATAGCCAAAGGAAGAAAGGGCACAAAGAAGGTTCAAAGAGAAAGAGCAGAAAATGTGTCCTGAGCAGATCCAGTGCACAAAAGAGAATGGCAAATTGGAACCATTTGATACAAATTTCAAGAAATTATTAAATCAGAGCCAGAAACAGTGTCACACACCTGTAATCCTAGTACTCTGGGAGGCTGTTGAGGCAGGAAGATCGTGAGTTTGAGCCCAGGCTAGGCAACTTAGCTATTTGCTGAGATACTGTCTCAATATAAAAAATTTTAAAAATCTGAAGATGTAGCTTAGTGAGAAGGCCCTGGGTACAACCTCTAGTACCACCAAAACAGACAAACAACCACAAAACCATGATTTAGATCTACCGAATCGATCTAATTCGCTATATATATCTTACAAAGATTTCCTTTAAAATGGGATATATTGAAACTTGGTGTTTACAAGAAAGAGCTACTGGAAAAATGTGGGCAAACTATGAGAGCAACATAATTCTGTGAGTATCTGTGTACATATTTAACATCATCTAAGATGCCATCAATTGTAAGATGCACCATTATTTTTTGTGTGTGTGCCACTAGGAAGAACTACTGCTGCCTATTGTAATTGTAAGATATCACAGCTGATAAGACATATCTTGATTTCAGCATTGCTAAAATGGGAAAACATGCAATCCTCAAATTGATGAAACCTATTAATATGTAATCTGTTCCTGTAGAAGTATGTTATCTTCCCTTTGGGCAGAAGCCAGGTGGAGTCTTTTCTCTATCCCTCCCAGCTATGCCAGAGGCTCAAAAATCAAATGAAATACTTTGTCTTTGACCTAGAGGTGACCACTCTATCACATTCCTCTAGAGGCGTCTTCTCTTAATAAATTGATTCAAGCTTTTGGCCCACCAGCTGAAGCCAAAAAGGTCTTCTGAGTCTCCCCTAAGCCTTTCCAGATCAACCTCTCTTTAAACAAAAGCCACATCTACCCGCTTGAGTGCTCAGCTGAATCCAGGCTGGAGCTTACTGATCCTAAGCTGCTCAGGGCAAAAGGCTGCTGGCTCTCCTCCTCCAGCATCAGCAGTATCCCTAATCAATGGTTAACCCAGCAGAATGGAGCAGGCTCCACCAGTCAGTCATGCCCACAGCCTTCACCGCCTGCCTCCTCACTTACAGCACCATCAACACCAAAGAGACTTGTTGCCAAGTACCAGGTAGCTTCCCAACTGTTATTCTTTTTTTTTTAGTACTGGAAATCGAACTCAGGACCTTGTGCTTACCAGGCAGGCACAGTTCCACTGAGCTACACCCCCACGCCCGCCATTATTCTTGAAAGGAACAGAAAGCAGTGCATGGGAGAGAGAAAAGCACAGCTGGGAGGCAAAGGTGGTCTGCTTCCACTGAAGCTTGGGGAAGGGAGATAATGAATCATGCATCATCGCCTAAGCTGCAGACCTGGGAACCCCACAGAGGCCCAGCACACAAAGAACCCCACAGTCCTGGTTAGTTATGCTTCAAAAGGTAGGAGGGTTATCCTGAAACAGAAAGAGCTTGACCATCTAACATGGCCTTCTCCTAGGCAAAGACACGCCACTGAGTCCACCCAGAAGCAGCAAGGAAACACCAGATGCCCACTCTCGTTCTACAAACAGCCTTGAAGCTTCATCCATGTGCATCTGTGCTCATCAAACTTGTCTCCTTTAATTTTCCACACAGCCCTGTAGATCAGTATTAGAACCAATTTTACAGATAAAAAGGAGGCTGAAACTGGCACAGGGGTGTAAGATGCTGAGGGCCACACAGCTGGGTCTACTTGGAATTCAGGTCTCTTTTCTACTTCACACATGGTTCTCAACCTCCAGTACTGTCATTTATGGGCTTATTAAATGTTTTGAAAAATACAGATTCTAGACCCCAGCCTGGAAAGCTGTGCTGTAGGGCTGGGCCTAGGGAATCTTGTGTTTTAACAAATATCCCAGGGAATCAGCTCAGCTCTGGGAACCAAGGCCTTACAGGTGGTCCTGAGTGCAGGAAGAGGGAAAGCAGGGACGGGAGGACAGAGTCTGGTAATCCAGAAAAAGTCCTTAGAGCCAGACTCGGCCTACTTTTTACCCTCCTTTTGCCTAAACACACCCCTCCTCTCTGCCAGAGGCCTCGCTTTATACCACATCCTGCTGCTTTCATCTTGCCTTCCTTTTCCCTTCTGAACAGTCTCCTTCCTCCTACTGTCCTGAACTTCTTAGGTATTTACCCCTGCCTGGGATGGGCCAGGGCGCCCGCGCACGCGCATACACATAGCACGCGGGGACACTCTGTGTAAACATGGATCCTCTGACAGCGCAGAACGTGCACTTCTTAGGACTCCGCTGTCCGGGGGATTCACGCTCACTAGCAGTGGGCCGCTGGGGATTGACAGAGGGCGCTTGGGCGGCTTCCCACAACTCCCAGGTCCTGATGGCAAAGAAGCTTTGGTGCCAATGATCACCCCGGAGTTCTCCTGCTGAGAAGGTAAGCGCCTTGACCTCAGGATCCAAAGCGGTCTGTAACCACGGTAGGGGGAGGCTGTGGACATATTCGGCCGCATAGAGGCGTCTAACGCTAGCTACCTAGGTTATGCTGAACAGTGCCCCGATGCCCTTTCTGTCTCCGGGATTATCCGCGAGGTGGATTTAAATCCGGTGCCTGCGCGGTGGACTCTATCCGCGGACTGGAGACGGCAGATTCTGTCCAGCCTGCCTGCTACAGCTGCGGCTCTCTGCACACCTCTCCCCGACGGTCCCCAAACTGCTCTGGCTCTGCCTTGCGCTTCCACGCGTGCCCTCCTTCGGCGCCCGTCCCGCCGCCCAGCCACACACCTGCAGTCCCCGCCGGGCGCCGAGCCCCTCTCCAGCGGCGAGTCCCGGCAATTCAGGTGAGGATGGGGACGCTGTGCCTTGGCTGGAGCCCCGCAGCGAGTCGCAGCATCTGCCCAGCCTCCACAGCGCCGGAGGGCTTGGGGCGGGGCTTGACCGGGGGCGGGGCCAGCTGCCTAGCCGGCCTCTCGCGCCACCTGCTGGCCAGGCTGGGTCAGCCAGGTGCCATCCTGGCCCCCGGCCTTTTACGACTCACCGTCCGGAACCTGCGGAGCCTCTGAGGAACATCTCCCGGCTCCGAGCCCGCCTGCTCTCGGGAGGTACAGGCCCTGCCGGTGTTTGTTGGTAGCCAAAGGACGCCAGCGCTGAGCAGCACGACCCCCCAGAAGTAAGGAGAGGTTCGGCAGGGGTGCGGAAGCACATTTTGGCCGGCGCGGGGGGAGGAGGTGGGCGGAGCAGGGAAGAGGCTGGGGGAGGGAGGGCTTCGGGGAAGGAGGAGAAAGAGGAAGCTCCGAAGAGCTGCTTCCTTCTCTCACTGCTACCCAGTGCCCCACTTCCTCCTCCTACTTCTATTTTCTTTGGGTGCTCTTAACCCTTATAATGCCTGCTCCTCCCGCTGGGTGAACGGGCGCCTTGACCCTCGTCCTGCTACTGGAACCGCCCGAGAAATTTCCGGCCAATCCAGACTTAAAGCACTGCTCCTCCAGCCTCTGGTCCCACATCCCTCTTTAGCCCTGCAGCTCCAGGGCCGGCTGTCTCTTCTTGCGGGGTTAGGGACTGGGGGAGTTACTGCTTCCCAAGTCTTGACCCTCTTCTTGCCGCCCTGTTCTCCTCCACAGACAACATGGCAGGCCTCCTTACACCAAGAGTTGCAGTGATTCGTCAGGGAACGCTAGAAGACACTGCACTTCCCAGTGCCTCAGTTTCCTCATTTACAAAGTGAGAATAAAAGGGCTTGCTACAGCAAAGGCAACCCCTGCAATGAAAAACTAGCACTTTTATTCTACGGTTGAGAATGGGCAAGTCTGAAATCACCACTTCCACTATTGAATGGGACTCTGTCACAATATCTGTTCCAGGCATCCAAAACCCGCCACGGGGCTTATACGTCGTTGGTGAAAGCCGCAGCCCTACCTGAGGCTTTGAGAGATGCCAACACCAATGACTTTTCTTTTCCTGAGTCCCTAAATACCAAGAAAAAGCAGCTTCCTCAAATGGACAGAGAAACAGAAAGTACCCTTGGGTGAGCTCAGAGGACTAGTTCCTGCCTGTAGTGAGACATGGGAAAGGCTCAGTGCCCATCATCTTCCACTTCTCCATCCACCATTCCCAACTGCACACCCCAGGTGGCTGTGGAAGGGCCCTCCTAACATCCCACAAATGGGTGAGGGGACATGGTCTCTGGTTTCTGTCTTCCCAGGCCCTACTTTATCCACACCAAAAAAAAAAAAAAAAAAAAAAAAAATGGTGGCATTTGGAGGAAGAGAAGGAGATAGAAGGTGGAAGCAGCCCAGAGGTGGCCAGGGTAGGAAGTAAAGGGTAGAATCAGCTTTAGAATCAGCAGGTGAGTAGTGAGAAAGACGCAGTGTCTGGCAGCTTGAGATGTTGGATTTTGAAGGGTAAAGAAACTGCTGGAGAAATTTTGGGAAGCTTGACTTTTTCCTCTTAGGTTTAAAAAAAAAAAAAGGACTTCCTTGTGGTTGGTCTTCCAAAAACTGAAGATGGAAGAAAGCTGAAACAGAATTGTTCACCCTGAGAAACTGAGCTTCTGGCAAAGCCAACTCCGTCCCATCCTGAATCCTGAGATGGGCACTCCTTTCCACCAACAGCTGGCACCCAGATGTGAACTTGCATGTTATTCCTCTTCCTATGCTGAGCTCTTCCTGTGTCTCCCTGTTCTCACAGCCCAGCCAAATCTGCACCTGGCATCCATCTATTGGCCAGAACTTAGAATGACCGCCACCCAGAAATGTCCCAAAGTCCTTCCTGAAGAATTCTCAGGGCTGTCTCTGTCACTCGTTAGGCACCTAATTGCATACCATTTTATGTAGTTGTTTTAGTTTTTGTTTTTTCCAGTACTGGAGATTGAATCCAGGGCTTTCACTCTGAGCCACATCCTAGCCCTTTTTCACTTTTTACTTTGAGACAGGGTCTTGCTGAGTCTCTAAATTACCCAGGCTGGGCTTGAACTAGCAATCTTTCTGCCTTAGCCTCTCAGAATGCTGGGGTTACAAGCAAGTACACCATGCCTTGCTCTTCTGTTGCTTTGTTTAAAGTGCCTCTTTGCAATGGCTCTCCTCTCTTTCATGGCCTAATGTTTTCAAAGAGGAGTCTGCTTTGTTTCTATTTCCTTATCTTACATTATTCCTGAATCCTCTGAAAGAAGGTCACCAAGGAAACCCCAAATGCCAAATCCGTTGTTCATGTTTTCTTACTTCACTACAGTACTTGATATTATCTTTCCTTTGAAGTTACTCCTTTGGCTTCTGAATTTCCTCCACCTCTAAGCACTATTTCTGTTTGCTTTTTCTGGTCCTATTTCTTTCATCATCTCTCTAAGACTGGAATGCTGTAGGTTTTATGTGAGGCTGCTTCTCTCAGGCAGTTTCATCCATTTCCTTTACACTGATCCTTCTCAAACCTACAGCCCAGACTTCCCTCTTGAGCAGGAATCTCAAGCCAAAGACATCTATGCCCTGATTGCTTGCTGGTCTCACCACCTCTTCACATTCTTACGTTGGAGAAAAAACTTACAACATATGAACCCTTGAGGGACAAGCCACACCCAAACTAAAACAGATGTTTACTTAGAAGTTGCATATTCCGCACTTTGTAAATTATATCTCAGTACATAATATGTGAGAAAGGGAAGTCTGCATTGGGCCTGCATACCTCCTACCCTTCCTCACTCCAATGCCCACCTTAGGTTGCCTCTCCTTGCATATTTACTTAACTGATTCCTTACTATATATTCATGACGATTAGCAGAATCACCTCAACTGCTATTCTTGGGAAGATACTGATTTCTTCTGGCAAGGATGGGAAACAGAAAAACTAAAAATACAAAAACAAAAAGATTTGGACTTTCAGGCCGGGGATTTAGCTCAGAAGTTCCACCACCTGCCTCGCGATCACAAGGACCAGTGTTTGATCCCAGTACAAAAAAAAAAAAAAAGATTTGGACTTTCAAAACAATGTTACACAGTCAAAATTAATATCCTTTAAATTTTCACAAAAAGGAAGAAAGTTTAAACTTTTGTCATTTGTGTTTTCAATGATATTTCCCATATAGGTGTAGTAGACTAGTTAGACTAGGTGTAGTAAAGTGGTTAAGAAATTTCAAACAGAGATTAGCAAACATTTTTTGCTTGGTAGATTTAAAGCTTAGAAGAGATGGTGAACAGAGTACTGGGAACCAAAGAAACCTGACTATGAATTAGAGCATAAAAATAATAATCTGTCCTAGAATTTAGAGGAGAAAAGATGAGAACTACTAGAGATAAGATGAGCTGTGAAGGCTACATTCAGAAATGTAATACACATACCAGGAATTCCACAATGAGGGAATAAAATATGTGATAGAAGAAATTTTCTGTGAACTGAAGAAAGATTTGCATCTTTTACTCAAAATCTTAACTTTCTTAGTGTGATAAAAATGACCAAAAGTTGACCTAAGGAAAGATGCATCTGAAGTTTTAGAAATTGTCAAAGAATTTCTCTCTTGGAAAGATCCATGTCCTGACATCCAATCAGAATTTAAAGTACTATGCTTTTTAAAAACACTACAATGAAGACTAAAATGTGATACCTTTCTCATTAGAAGGAATGGGATATAAGAAAATATTCATGCATCTGCTCATTTGTACAAAAAGAAATGTAGGAAGAACAGCCCAGAAATTAGTTACCTATACCAGGTAGATGGGGATAGCATGGGATGAAAGAAGGAATAGGAACTACGGTAGACAAGAGAGGAGAAATGTCAATTTTCCAAAGGTGCTTTTAAAACTTGGTTCTGACTTTTAGAACCAAGGTAATGTTTTATATATGCCCATTCCCCCTAAAAATAAATAACCAATTAAAATGGTGGGAAACCAAAATAGGATGCAAGCAGTAACTAATGAATCCAACTATTGGAAATGAACGCTATTACCATACTAAGGAAGGTGGAGATGAAAAGAACTAACTCAAGTCATTTGGGGAAACATCTTGTGATTACATTCTGCAGAGCAAACAACATCATAATAGTTTTGCTGTTTGAGGGGTCTGCAGTCTAGGTAGTAAATCTGTTTCTCGTGGGTTTATTCATTAGCTATTCTTTTTTAATGTTTACTAAGATTGGACAAATAAGTAAAATATATTGTACATAGAGCCAGGTTTATTGGTGTTGATGAAAGAAGTTACAAATAAGGGAAAGTAAAAGGCTAGAATGAATCATAGTGTTACACTGGAAACAGATATCATCATGTTTTTAAGAGATACATACAGCCATGAACAGTGGTTCATGCCTATAATGCCCAGCATTCTGGCAGGCTGAGGCAGGAGGGTCACAAGCTCAATTTCAAGCTCAGACTTATCAAGAACCTGTGTCAAAATAAAAATTTAAAAAGGCTAGGAGTGTAACTCAGTGTGAAGGCCCTGGATTCAATCATGAAGACCATACACACACACACACACACACAAGATAGATGCATAGATATTAAAATACCTAGATACAGATGTGTGTGTTTCATTGCTCTGTTTGCTGAGAGAGACTAAAAGTAATGCTATTCCACCAACGATGAGCACACCTAGCTCCCAGATCTTAGTTCCTAAGTGTTATTCTCCAGTAAAGATCCAGGACAAGGAAAGAACAAGATTAATCTAGAGCATCTTGTTGTAATAGAAAGCAATAAAAGCTCAAAAAAATGAGGTTTGTCAGAAGAACACAGGGACTAGCTTCATGGGGCTCTCAGTGGTGAAATACAGAACATACTGAGTAACATACTAAATAAGGATGCCTATGGATTAGAATAAATGGTTAGAATATGGCTTATAGAATTAAAAAATCCGTAAGACTATGCTGACATAAATGAATAAACAAATAAATAAGTAAAAAATGAAGGAGTAAATAAATGAATGAGAAGAGATAATCCTTTCCGTACAGTTCCAGTGATGGTGCAGAAAGAATGATGGACATAAACAATCACAATTTAGTAGACATCACAGTAATAATTTTTGCAGATAAGAATTGTCAGTAAGTTAGGCATGGTGCCACATGCTTGTAAACCCTATACTTGAGAAGCTGAAGTAGGAGGATTGCTGTGGGTTCAAGACTGTCCTAGGGCCGGGATTTAGCTAAGTGATTCTGCCACCTGCCTTGCAAGTGCAAGGTCTGGAGTTTGATCCCCAGTACCAAAAAAAAAAAAAAAAAAAAAGACCATTCTGGGCTATATAGTGAAACCCTGTCTCAAAAAACACCAAGAAATAAATATAAAAGAATTGTCAGTGGATCCTAAATGTAGTGGGCCAAAGTATAATGATAAATGGTGCTATGGTCTGAACATTTGTGTTCCCTCCCCTCAAGTTCATATGTTGAAACCTAATATACCCCAAGGTGATAGTATTAGGAGATGATGTGTTTGGAGATGTGCTTTGGCCATGAGGGATATTTCCTCATGATTGGAATTAGTGTTCTTGTGGAAGAGGCCCAGGGTATCTATTATGGCTCACCACATGAGGATATTTAATAGGAGCCACCCACAAGGAACAAACACCACTGTATACCAGATCTACCATTATTTTAATCTTTAACTTCCAGCCTCCAGAACTGTGACAAATAAATATTGTTGATACCAGGTTTATGGTCTTGTTAGAGCAGCCTGGACAGACTATGACAAATGGGATATTTGCTTAGTTAAGTCTCTCCCTGAAAGATAGTTGATAGTGAAAAGAAGATGGGAACTTTATGGTGGAGAAACCAGGCAGACACACACTAAGCCAAGTTAACATCACCATAAGGACACTAACTAAGTAAAACCACATTTGGTGATTTGATGCACCAAGAAAGATATGCATTTCTATAGTATTCTTGCTTAAAATGTCTTACCTTGATCTGATTGTAAGAAAAATCAGACTACAGCTGGGGATTTAGCTCAGTTGTTCTGCTGCCTGCCTTGCAAGCTCAAAGACACAAGTTCGATTCCCGGTACAAAAAAAGAAAGAAAGATAGATCAGACTCAGACTGAGGGTCATTTTACAAAATTTCAACCTTGTCAAGGTTAGAACACACAGAGATTGAGAAAATTGTGTCACAGATTGTCATACAACAATCTAAGGGTTTTGGGAGAGTATTGATTGGGTCCTGGACCAGAAGAAGGACATTTAGTGGGACCATTGATAAAATTTGATTATATCCATACTGATTTTCTAATTTCAATAATATATATTATGTATAAAGCTGGTATTTGGGGAAGATGGGCAAAAGCTTTTTAGGGATTCTGCATTTGCAATGTTTTTCATTAATCCAAAATTATGTCAAAATATAACTTTAAAAATTCAAGAGTTAAAAGGTGTAAATCTTATATAGA